TTTCCTGCCCTTTCCCCCCCTCACATTGTTCACCTTTTCCCTTCTCCCACTTCCTACCCTCTTTTCCCCTCGTTTCCGGCCCTCTTGCTCTCACACTTCCCACACTTCTCCCCTCATGTTTCCCACATTTGTCCCCTCACACTTCTCAAAATTTTCCTCTCAAGTTTCTCACACTTTTTTCATCATGTTTCATGCCCTTTTCCTCTCCCATTTCCTGGCCTTCTTCTCCTCTCACATTTCTTACTCTTTCCTCCTCATATTTCCTGCCCTTTTCTCCCCTCAGGCTTTCCTCCCTTTTTTCACTCTTGCATCCTGCTCTGTCCCCCACATTTCCTGCTTTTCAAATAACTGGCAGATGAGGTTACAAATTGCCTTGTGTTTCTCTGTGTATACACAAAAAAAGCTGCAATACTGCATTAATAAAGCTATTGTCTAGTAATCATCTAAACATACAATCACACTGCTCCAGGGCAGAGAGACACAGGGTCTTGGGCAGGATGGCTCTAGGTGGCCCCAGGGTTGTTCTAGGGACAGCAACAAGTGGCTGAGGCTAGAACAGGAGCAGTTGTGGGGAGCCCTTGGAGGGACCACCTCCTTGGGACAACATCCATGCCACTATCATGAACATAGCACCAGACCCTGAATGAGAGGTCTCACATGGGTCCCAGTGACTGCAGGTGGGGACACCTTTCCCAGGTGGGGCTGACATAAATAGTCCTAAGTCATATTGCTTACAGTATCTCAACTGGATCAAGAAAAACTGAGTCGCATTGTTTAATGTTTTAAAAAACATTAAAAAGTTGCCTAACCAAGGCAAGAAGGTGCTCAAACAAGCCAGCAGGGCAGGAGACAATGCTTGAGTCCTGTTCTCAGGTCACATGTGATGATGAATAGAGAAAGTAAGGTGGGGGCAATTCCCCAAACCAGATCACTTCCCAAATTGCATGTGCATGCTCCACTTTAAGGTGTACACCTCTGCATATGTAAATGGCTTCTGAGAAGTGAAGAGAATTCTGGGAATTTAGATATTATGTATACTTTGTATACAAGTGAAAATTCTGGAACTTTGCACGTGTTGTATACATTACGAGGAACAGTGTCCCGCCAAACTGACACCAAATTAATGTCTACTTCCTAATACTGAAATTTCAGTGTTAAGAGTTTTACTCTTCCTGACATTTCAGGGACATGACATGCACTCTTTCTCATGTTTTACTTTCCCAGACTGGGATTTGGAAATGTTCTTTCTTTGCTGTGTTGCACTGCTTCTTTCTTGTACATAACATGACATCTCACGCTAAGAAATGGGACTAAAAGGGTTCATATGAGTATTCAAATGTTCTCTTGGTATCATCCTGCAGAGATTCCAAGTCTCAGGCAGCAGATACAGTGAAGTGGGGAAGGCCTGTTTGCTGGGGGGGTTCCAAGGTGAGCAGTTGATACTATGGCAGGAGCTGGGTCCTGAATGGTTGCCAAGACCTTTGGCAGCCTCTCCATCTGATCCAGCCTGGGGATGCCTGATGAAAACTGGCCAGTCAGGGTTGCCACTGCACCTGGCATAGGTTGGGCATTTCCTGGACAAGGTCACAAGGGTTGTAGAGCTACAGGACCACTATGGGTAGCCCCTCAGGAGCTTCCCAGCCAGAGCCTGTACTGTGCTAAAGATGGAAAACACCTCATAGATCCAAGATGGTGGCAGTTTTGTAAAAGAAATGCAAAGGTCACACGTGCAAAGAAGAAACGTACTGCAAAAAGAGCTGAGGGGCTGATGTCCCTGTGGGTCCCCATATTCCTTCCAACTCCACAACACACACCAGAGATGAGACAAGGGGGATGTTTCGAAGATGGGGATTGGGGGTCCTGGTGGGTCCCTATGAGGGCACAAGGACCAAGGGAGCTGGTGGATCCCCATGGAAATATATAACTAGGGGGGCTGGTGGACTGCTTGTGAGGATGCAGGGACAAGGATGTCTGGTGGATCCCCATGGGGACATGGAATTGGGGGGGCAGAAGGGCCCCCTAGGTCAGAAACAAGGCCCCTAGCCATTGGGAGGCCTCACCCCAGAGGTTTTTCTGTAATGTCATAATCATGGCTACAAGCCCTGTTCTTAGGTATGAAGAAACAGAAGAGCAGGACACCTGGGTGGACACATGTGTCTTGGTCTTTGAGCTGAATAGGGGTGTTTCTGAGCTCAGGAACACCTGAGCATCAGCTTCAAGCCTCATCAGGACTTGGCATCCTTCAGCAGGTAACAGATGAGGAGGAGCCGGTGCATGGAGCATCCAAGGAAGATTTAAACAGCTCTAGGAAGTCTGAGTGACCTGGAATGAGGTGAACAGGAGTGCACAACCCAGGGCATGGCATGGAATGGCAGTGAGGGCCTAGCATGGCAGCTGGCATGTGGTTCACCCAGGCAGGGCTGTTTCCTGCCCTTTTCTTCCTTCACATTCCCTTACCTTTTTTACCTCATCTCTCCTGTCCTTTTTCTCTCACATTTCCCACCTTTTAAATAATTTGACAGACTGTAGAAGCAGCAGCCTGCTTGGGCTGTCCTGACCTCGATTAACAGCTCTTCATCCATGGGACAGTGCATACCAAAGGATCAAATACATCCATAAATGCCTGTGCTTTGATGTACACTCCTGAAAACTGGGCTGTGAATGTATGTGGGATGAATTTTAAGAGCTAGAAACATCAGCTCTACTCTTATTTTGTGTGGTTACTTACTCTCTCCTACTGGTTGGCTGTGTAATTGATCCTAAAACTTGTACACAAAAGTAACATATAAATACTCAAGTGTGGTTAATAAAGACAATCCTGCTTGAAGACAAAGTGGTGGTCTGTTATTTTCAATTGCTACACAGACAAGGTTAAAAACTGGCTTCTGTATCTTTGTACAAACTGGGCATCATGAAGCTGTCACAGGGCTCTGCCTCTGGCCAAGAAAGCCTCCTCCATCCTGAGGGAGCCACACAAGCTAGTTTTGCTGTGGACACTTTGGTAAAAGTTTATGATTTTGCAACCCAATTTCCCCCCATGTTTCCTGCCCATTTCCTCTCACAATTGCCATACTTCCCCCCCACACACTTCTTGCATTTTCCCCATACTGTTTCCTTGCCCTTTCTTCTCCTCAGATGTCCTGTCATTTTTCCCCTTATGCTTCTCACACTTTCCCCCTCAGGTTTCCTGGCCTTATTCCAGTCATATTTCCCACTCTCTTCCCGTCACATTTCCTGCCCTTTTTCCTCTCATGCTTTCCTCCAATACCGTCACCCTCACGTTTCCTGCCTCTTTAAATAGCAGGCAAACAGGGGTACAAACTATCTTGTGTTTCTTCACGTGTACAGAGCAAAGTTGCAATACTGCATTAATGAACCTACCTGGAGACTCTCACCTGCCCGGCACTGCTCCGACCGGAGAGACACCGTGCCTCGCACAGGCCACCCCAGGACGCCCCGGAGTGGTGCTGGGAATGGCAGCCACAGCCGGCCGGGACTTTGGTGGGAGAGCCCGCGGGGAGCGGCAGGAGGCACCATCTCCTCGGGGCAACGGTCTCGGCCGCCATCTTGTGCGTGGCGCCATCCCCTGCGGCGCGGACCCCGCTCTAGTCCCGATCCCTGCTCCTGAATACGCTCTTTCTGGAAGAGGAAGACGCTGTTTTCTGTCTCCGTAGGGACTGGTCTCGGCAGAGTCCGCCCCCGTTAGCAGCCAGCCGGCAGCAGAGACCTTCCCACTCTGGCAGCACCCTCTCCCTGTCTCACTCCCTCCCGGCATATCCGTGACTTCCACGCCAGTTCCGGTTTGGCGGCGCGCGGAGATTGGCTTTTCGATCCCGACGGCCGGAAGCGGGACATTTGAACGGTAACGGACTGCCTAGGCTGCTCCGCTGTGGGGTCGCTGCCTCGGGACGGGGTAACACTCGGGACGGCTCCTGCTGGCAGCGGCCCAAGAAACGGGGTGGGACACGAGGGTCTTCTTGCCGCTGCGACTCGGGGTCGCGGCGCTCCTGCGCTTGTCGCCTGGGAGCCGTGACAGGTCGGTGGGAGCAGCAGCCGCCTTCCTCGGGGGCTGCTGCTGAGTCGCTTCCTGTGCCCGAAAGCATAAGCGCAATTTGCGGTCTCCCCTTGTAGCTGCTGAGAAGAGCTGCCTGCGTCCTGCGGGTCGCAGAATGGCCGGAGATGACTATGAGGAAATTCTCAAGTACTATGAATTACACGGAACAGTCGGCACAGGTGGGCTCAGTCTGTGAATGCAAACAAGTGTGTGTGATATGTGCACTCACCTCGATGTTTATCTGAAAGATTAACTGTTACTTCAGAGTCCGTGGGTCATGTTTTCTGTGTATTTTGCGGGGCGCAACTGTAGAACTAACTGGAAGGTGGTAGCAGCAATTGCTTCTTTCTCTGGCAATGATGCTACATGCTGTGCATATGGTATTTGCTTCAGGGCGACTGAGATCACGGTGAGAAAGCTTGTCATCATGCAGAACTTTATACATTTCTGTTTCAAATTCTAGGTGGGTTTGCAAAGGTAAAACTTGCGCGACATCGTCTCACTGGTGAAAAAGTTGCAATAAAAATCATGGACAAGCTTGCTTTACAGGTAATCCAAAAGATACTTCAGAGCTAGTCATGTGCTGTTCCTGTGGAGTTCTCAGGAGCGCAGGTGCAACCTGTCACTGTGGGCTAGTGATAGAGTCTGTAAAATTGAAAGAATTTTAAAGGCACCACAAATCCTGTGCCCTTATATGGAGAGGGCAATGTACCCTGGCTGTAAAACTGAGACAGTTACAACTTTAAATATTAAGCAATTAAATAAACTAGTGTAAGTCAAATGGAGTGCTGATGAGAATAGTAGCACAAATCTGCCCCTTTGGGTTTTACTGACCAGTGTGTGAGGAGGGCAGGTGAGCAGTGACAGAGCTGGTGCTGGTTTGAGTTTGAGCAGTTCTGATGTGCAGGTTTACTTTGAGGTACAGGCTGTCAAACTACTTCATACCTTGCTGTTGTGATCTTTTAGGATGACTTGCCTCGTGTTAAATTAGAAATAGATGCCATGAAGGACTTGAGTCACCAGCACATTTGCCGGTTGTATCATGTGATTGAGACACCCAAGAAAATCTTCATGGTTTTAGAGGTAAGGAATGGTGTTTCTTCTATAGGAAAAATCTCTGGGTTTAGCCATAGCAGTAGATGGTAGCAGAGTCCAAATGAAACACTTCTTAGAAAATAATTTCAATGATGAGTGTGTCCAAGGTGCTGTAGTTTAAAAATGAAGCTGATAATGTGTTCTGTCTCACTGTAAAGCCACTTTTCACTGTTTGCAATAAACAAACGGACTTTTATTCCCACCTTGCACTCCAAAAAACAGCACCAGCAGGATATGTGGTATCTGAGAAATGCCACTGAACTGTCATGTCTTGGGCAGTTTCTGTCATCTGTGCTGGTAGTGTGAGATGGCTGTGGCAAGCATCAGGCAAGAGTTGGGCTCTTGGTCTTGTTAGATCTGTTGCATACATGCCTGGGGCATGCCCATGGGTGCTGCTGGGATTAAGCAGGGAGAAGGAAAGAGAAGAGTGCCTTCTTGCTGTCCAGTGCCCTTGTTCATGTTTACATTTCATGACTGTAAGTATTCTTTTTTTCCTGCTTTCATGCAGTATTGTCCTGGAGGAGAACTGTTTGATTACATAATTTCTAAGGACCACCTTTCCGAGGAGGAAGCTCGCATATTTTTTCGGCAGATTGTTTCAGCAATTGCTTATGTGCACAATCAGGGATATGCCCACAGAGATCTCAAACCAGTAAGTCAGAACAGTAGTCGAATTTGCATAAATAATAATGAACACCCACTTTTATTTCTCTGAATGGAGCTGGTGTGAATTGTCTTCTCTGTTCTCCTGTGCTTAGAGCTCTTTAGTTAATATTTGCTGAAAAAGCATTATTTCTACCTCTTGCTTTGTTCCTCAACTGAGCTGGATGTAGTTGTATCTGAGGAAGGAACCTCCTCTGGAAGAGAAGCAGAATATTGCACTTGAGTTGAGAGTGGAGCAGACACAGATTTGATTTTGACTGCTGGTTAGGCATTTTTGCTATCCCCTTTATTCCAGAATGTACCCAGGGAGAGTTTTAGGGTTCCTCTCTATTGTGCAAACTGTTCTGTTCTGACATTTAAGGGAAAATGTGACTCCCACAATGTAAACAAGTAAGGACAGAGGAGGGATGTGCCAAAACACTGATGCTGTGGCTTTGCTATCACCACCAGAATTAAGCATGGGCTGAGAGAATGGAAGACTTGAGACTATTTCTCCTAGAAGGGGTTAGAAGTTTGCATGTTTAGAGACACTGATAACTGAGAAAAGCAAATTCTTTGGGTACAAGCATTTTACTAGACAGCTCATGAAATCCTTGTCTCCAAAGAGCTTCTCTCCAAGCAAAGCCTTCTGTGTCCCTCTTGGAAAGATTTGGATTGTAGCTGGAGACGTGATGGATTCATAGGATTGTGAGAGAACTTGGTTGGGAATTGACTTCTAGTGGCTTCTGCTTTTATCTCCTGTGTAAAACAGTGTCAGATCAAACTTCTTCATCCAGTCACATCTTGGACCTCTCCCTAGGATGAGACACCATAATGTTGCTGGGAAACCTGTTAAGATCTTCACTTTGTTTTTTTGTGAGAAAGGCATTTTCTTAGTATCAGTCTGAAAGTCTCCTGAGGCTCATTGACTGTCATTATCACACTGTGTGCTTCTCTGGTGGGGCTGGTGCTGTCTCTGCACCCCCTCTATAGGAATGAAAAGGCTGCCATGAGGTCTCCACTGAAGTTTTGTCACCTACCTACAGGCTGAAAAACCATCCTTCCCTCAGCCTCCTCATGAAAAAAGTGCTCCAGCACCTTGGACAGGCTGGTCTCCATCCACAGAGTTTACCTCAGTTTGGTGCCTTTCCTCTGCTAGAGGGTGGGCAGAAACTGAATGTGCTGTTCTCACTGTGGTGAACAGAGGGCAAATGGCTTCCCCCTCTTTGCCAGCTCTGCTTCTATTCATACTATCTGGGATATCACTGGCTGCATTTTCTGCCAGGGCAGGCTGCTGCTTCACAGTTTTTGCTTTCTGTGTAGCAGCCCCCTAGGCCTTTCTGAGGAGGTAGGAGTTTGTATTCCCTATCTAGAATATAGGATATATTCATTAGCAACAGACCAAAATATCCAGAGGAGAGCTTCAGGTAAATTATGGCTGGTAATGGGAAGAAGAAATAGGGTGAAAGAAAATGTGGTTTCTTGGATACCTGGCATTATGTAAGAATTCATTACCACTTTCTCTTTTACTAGGAAAATTTGCTGATTGATGAGGAACATAATCTGAAGCTGATAGACTTTGGACTTTGTGCAAAGCCAAAGGTAAGGGTGTCAGTTGCTCTCATAGCAGAGTTTAATCAAATACAGTGCACACATAAAAATTGCAGGCGTGACTTCAGGGTGCAGTGCAGAGCCTTGCCTTGAATTTGAGCTGTTGGTGTAGTTGTCCCACTGTTAATTGCTTGGTACAGCCTTAACAGTGTGAGCCAGTTTTACACTTACTGCGCAGAATATCAGTTTTTCTCCTCTTACACTTCATCTTTCATCCCAGTATGTGACACAGATTGCCTTATGTGTATCTACTTGTGTGTAGAGTATCTACTCCCACATAGCACTGTAAAGCTTATCTTGGTGTCCATTTTCCCCCAGTAATTTTCAATGTCTTGTGTAGTTTTCACAGGATTTGTCTATGTGTAGATTGTGGATCAAATCAAATAGATTCCCCTTACCTTTACAAAGCCTCTGGATCCACATGGTGGTACTGAGTTCTTTAACAAGTTTAAAGTTTGTTTCTACAATGCTGCTCTGTTTGTCATTTTCACACATGAGATGGGTGCTGGGAAGAAGGAATTTAATGGAAAGAAGATCTTATTGATCCAATATCCGCAGATTGTTTTAGCTGAGCCAAGTTAAAGCACCTTGCAGGAAATTGGGAGTATTAGACCACCATCTTGGTGGTACAATGTCATCTCACACTGATCTGCTTTAAACAAAGCCCAGGCTAAGGAATAACACATTTTTAATAAGGAAACATTTTAGTGGCTCTTCATGAAGTTATTGCCTTAAATATTTATCAAAATATCCAACCAGCTTCATGACGAGTAGCTCTTGGATTAATGATTCCCAAGTTCCATCTTTTTGGTCACAAAAGAAGTATTCCTATGACAGGAGGAGCTGCGAAAAAGGCTGCTGGGATATTATATGTGAAGGAGCAGCTTGGGATCTGAACATTTATAAGACTCTCCTGGTCCTGGACAGTTTTTGCCTGGTAAAGCCAAATATTATATCAAAGCAAATGTCAGGTGATTGTATATAGACAGCATTGGAAAATTAAGCTTCTGAGGCCTCTGATATGTTGTTGCTAGAAGACACCATTAGTGCTAGAGCCAGTGCTTCTTTGTCATCAGTTTTGTCTTATTCTAGGGTGGCCTTGATTACCATCTGAACACCTGCTGTGGAAGCCCAGCTTATGCGGCACCAGAGCTGATTCAGGGCAAAGCATACATTGGCTCAGAGGTAGGTGATACAATTATGGGCTAGGGTATTTTTTTTCTGTGTGCACCATGTATTTAAAGCTGGTGAGATTCAGATCTACTCCCATGTTGTCTTTCTTCAATGTCATGTTGCCTCAGTGGTGCTCAAAAGTTGTGTGATTGAAAGCAGTCACAGCCTGGAATAGCTCCTGACCACAGGTTCTGCATCTGACTTTTTCATCTCTGACTAATTCTTCACTGTTCTCAGGTGTTGCTCTACAAAAATAACTACCTTCTACCACATTATTCCAGGCAGAAATTTGTTCTGTTAATTTTCCAAGTCTTGTTGCAAATTTCTATGCGGTCTCAGTATCTTGTATACTTTGCCTTTGAAATCTTCTAGGAAAACTTATTTTTTGTACTGTGCAGTGTAGTAAAATTAAAGATAACAAAAACTGTAGCATTTATTCAGCTTTGATTCCATGTCTAGAATATTGGGGTCTGCTACATGCCCTTGACAATTAATTCAAAATGCTGCAATTTCAATCTCCTCAAACTTCCTGTCTGTGCTGTTGGATGGAGTCAGTCTTTTTTCCTTTACCTCCTTTGCACCACTGTCCCTGACCTCTATGGCTTGCTTTCTTTTAGTTTTCCACAAAGTCAGTGTGTTGCAGCCTGAACTGCTACAAGTAAAGTCCAGGGTAAAGAAGCAGAAAAGGTCTTTGCATGGTATCCACAGATGTTTAATTCAGCTGCCCCGTAAGGTGCTCAGTGTTCCCCAGCACACCCATCTCCCAGCTCTCTCTCCCCTGTCTGGAGGGGTCGGGGCGTGAACCTGGTCTCTGGGCGGTACAAAGATGAGGGCCAATAAGGGAATAGGAAGGCTGTGGCTCAGGGACATAGGAGCGGACATAGGAACAGGGAAACGATCAAGTGGGGGTCTAACAGCTTTTTGAGGAAAGCTTATTGTGCCTCCCTAAAGCAGGGAAATGCCCCCCAGGGTCTCCACATCAGTGCTTCTCAAACTTCCTTTATCTTTATGACTGAACTGGGAATTGCAGTATGAGGCAAGTAGACCCTTTCATGTCTATACAGAAAAGTAACAGTGAGGTTTTAAAGCTGATAGTTACTGTACTGACAGCTGTCATAATCACAAATACTTTTGAGTACAAAATCCCTTCAGATGATTCCCAAGGCAGGATCAGCCTTGAGATGAATAAAATTGGGACAATTCCAGATAAGAAATTTAAAATAGTGGTCTTATCTGTGAAATAATAAGGCTTATTTGGAACATAATGCTTACTTACATAACACAAAGCTTAGTGCGCATGCACAACTTGCTAGGTTATTCAGAGGACAGCGAGGAAGATGGTGAGCCTTCTTCTGAAAAGACCATCGAAAAGCCAAGAAGTAGCTCCTCGTGGAGCATGCACCATGCAGTATAGTGACGTAGATTTCAAGAATCAAAAATAGGAGGAGATTTACAAGAACATATTGAAGAATACGTATTAGCATACAGTATATAAGTTGTGTTTGGATTCTTTTGCCTTTTGTATGTGAGGCAGGGTGGGAAGCCCTCCCCGTCAAACCCCAATTGATTGGTTTTGCTTATGCTTTATCCGAACCACTGCCAAATTTGGTTTTATAACTACTCGATTGTATTACTTTATATAAAATTGCTGCTCAATTAAAATAGCTGCTAAATTTTAATTTTGTTGTTTATTAAATTGGACATATAGGGACCTCATTCATAACAACTTGGACTATAAGAGTTCTGTTGAGAGTAAGGAACCTCTTTCCACAAGTTTTGTGTGGGTTTTGCCAAAAGGTGACAATGTGATAGATCATCATTTTAAACAGATGAGGTTTGTGAACTCCCACTTTCATTTTTTAGGCAGATATTTGGAGTATGGGAGTACTGCTGTATGCTCTGCTGTGTGGTTTTCTCCCCTTTGATGATGATAATGTCATGGCTGTCTACAGGAAGATCATGGTAGGTACTGATGATACTAGAATACATGAGGAACAGGAATCACTAAGCATTATGGGAATTTTTACTTTCTCATTTGAGCAAAAAAGGCTTATCTGCTGAATTTTATTATGCTTTGCTTCTCTTTTGATCAGTATTTTGTGGATTTGTTTCTTTTTTCCCTCATCCTGGGCAGTAATCTAGCTTGGTCCAATGATACATAGAAAAGTGAGTCTCAGGAAAAGCATTCTCTTGCTAGGGGCTGGACTTTTATATCTGAGTGTTTATCTGTCTTCTCACTAAAAAACTACTAAAAATACCCTTCTTGAATACCAGCCACTCTCATGTCTAGGAAAAGCAGGATGCTGTCTCTGGTATTATATATTCCTCTTCCAAAAGGAGTTGAATAAATAGTACATAGTAAAATTAAGTCATTGATTGTTTCCCTGTAAACTCCTCTTTATGTGGCTAAACAGCTGTTGTTCCTCATCACACATGCATCTCTGCCAGCCACTTCTGAGCTGCCATAAAAATCTGGGTTGATGAAGCTTGGTCTGAGTGGGATGATGAACAGCAGTGCAGAGTAATGGCTTTGTAGTCTTCTGTCTCATTCTCCCCTCACCAAGAGTCTGATATGTCTTTAGAAGGACAGCAAAAAAACCTCCTTGAGAGTATTCAAGGACTACTTTGTCAGGGGGCAACTGACACTGGTTTGCACAGGAAATGTTTTCAGCGTGCATAACAGTCTGACCTCTATGAAGCACCTGATTATTTCAACAGAGTGTGGATTTTTAATCTGGAATTGGAGTACACTTGAGTACCTTGACAGAAGGAAGTACCTTGACTAGGAAGCTTAGTTTGATTTATGGAAGAGAGCTTTAAAAAATTTTAAAAAGGGAAAAAAATAATCAGAGACTACATAATCCGAAGAGATTGTGTAAAGGTGCTAATGTTCAGATGAGATGCCAGTAAAATTACATGACTTCCCAACTCATATAGTCATAGAATATCTTGAGTTGGAAGAGAGCAAAAAGGATCAAGTCCAACTCCCTGCTCTTTGCTAGTATACCTAAACTAAACCATGTGGTTAGGAGTCTTGTCCAAATAATGCTAGCAAGCACTTAATTTCTCAGTGAAATTGCTATTAAGTGTAAACAATGGTTGTTGAGCTGCTTTTCCCTATCTGCTTCTGGTGTGAACTGTGTTGCCTACCCAGAAAGTCAGAGCACATTGAGAATGTGTTCACTTGTGGGCATGCTGTCATAGGATGATGAAACCCTTTTTGATACTCCTTACACCAAGATGCAGAACCTGGTAAATGATCCAACTGCTTAAGGCATTCACTAAGCTGAGAACTCAGATGTGAAATGGAGATCTTAATTAAGAATATTAAAAATGACTCTGTGTAGTTACCATTGTCTAGTATGGACGGGAACTATGAACTGAGATGTTTGGAGCAATGCAGTATCTGCCACTGGAATATGTTGAAGTGAGCTGAAACAACAAATGAGGTTATAAAGCTTAGTTTGGGAGCAGTCAAAAACCAATCATGTTGCAGGTGTTAAGATGCATACTTGCTATTTCCACTCTGAATTTGTTTTAATTTTATGTGGTTGTGAATTGAAAATTGTTTCAAATGAAGAAACCCACTATTGTGGAATTAGTTTCACACAGTTTAAATCCTGAAATTTATTGTAATCTAATCTTGCACCTGTTGCTGCAAATCAAATCTTCTGCTTGAATTCAATTAAAATCATATGCTTTACATGCAGTGTTAATTCCATGGAATGTTCTCTTCATTTGTGAATCAGTGGCTTTTTGACTGAAAAATTAAGCTGTGGTATAGCTACTGTAAAAAAAAAATTACTTCTGGTATGAACCTTTTGTGCCTGGCAGATATCACAACCAGATATTTACCAACCAGTATTGCCCACAGTACAATAGATGAGAATTGCTCTTTGTTATGTCATGTTCTGTAGCATTATGCTAAAGCCAAAATGTAGATTACTTGTGTTACTTAGTTTCATAGTAAAGCTGTGTTGTAAAACAGCCTACAGAACTATTCCTAAATAACTTGCTAGTAGTGTCTGTAAAGATGTAACTGAATCTTTAATCTGTGATGTCAATGCAATACATACTGTTCTTAGAAATGTGGCTGCATATAGTACCAACTGTTTTGTTATTAAGGCACTTGTCTGTAGAAAGAAAATTGCCATTACACAATGATAGTTATGTTACTTTACAATGACTTTGTACTGATTTTTATTTTTATCTCGGTTTTCATTCAGAAATAAATTATTCTTGGTGGTGAATTTGGTGTGGTTTCTAGGTACTGTTACTCCTCACATCTGGCAGTTGTTTTTTTCAATTTTCTTCTAACCAAAACCTTAAAGAAAAACAGCAGTGAATAATTATCTTGAAAAAATCTCACTTGCTAGATCTGTAACCTTTCTCCTGTCTGCTATGTGAGATTGAAAGTTTAGCATTAGATTTAACCTGTTCAAACAAGAATATCCTAATACTGAGGATGCTGTAACTTTAGTGTCTGAAAAGTAGTGATTCCCGGGAATCTTCACATTGCAAAGTGCTAATATCAATCATTCATAATCCAGTATGTTTGCACTTCTAGAACTTCAGTACTAAGTTGATAGGATGAAGCAAGGCAATGGAGAAAGGAGCAGGTTAGCTGCAAAAGTGGCAGAGATGGAGGTGTCATACAAGCTGAGTGGACGAAAACTGCAGCTGGTGATTCAAACATGGCATTTTCCTTACTAATGCTGCTGGGTTTTAGTACTGCCACGACATTTATGCAAGTCATCCTTTAAACTAATGTCACAGCTTCCTGCTGTTGTTTTTTTTTACAAAGTAGAGATGTCGCTATTGTCCAAGTAATTTAGTATTCCCTTTTGAGGTTCAGTGTTAGTTTTAAATCCTCTTCTTTTTTTGCAGAGAGGAAAATACAGTACTCCAAACTGGCTCTCTCCTAGCAGTACATTGCTCCTTGATCAAATGCTGCAGGTAAAGGTTATTGTTTCTGTTCAATAGATGTATAAAGTACTGTTTAATTGGTTCAAAGCATTACATCAATGAAATCTTTGAAAAACATTCTGTGTTTAAATAAGCAGTTTTTTGAAGAGAAGATTACTATTGCCTTCAGCGAAAAAATCTTTGGGAAAAATGTTTGATTTCAAAAATAATTAGCAAAGTTTACATGGTTTAACAAAGTCTTCAAACAGCATGCATTTGGTTCTTCTTAATATAAAAACAAGAGTTGTTTTGTAGCCCAAATATATATTTGGGCTACACCTAATGAATATTGCCAATGCTGCATATCCCTGGGAAATCTGTTGTAGCTGTAGGTTCTATAACTTCTCTTCACAGCTAAGATCTTTGTGAAGCTCTGAAAAAGTATTGGTTTCTGGTTTTGTCCCTAACCACCCTAACATTCTGCGTGGAAGAGGCAATTGTTTCTTCACTTTTTCTTCACAATTTAAGTATCACTTTGATTTTTATGGCACACCAGGTCGACCCAAAGAAGCGGATTACAATCCAACACCTGTTAAGTCACCCTTGGCTCATGCATGGTTTTTCTGATACTGTTCAGTGGCAAAGTAAATACCCAGTAAGTACTCTGCTCAGGTAGATAGTAAAGCATTTCATGTAATATTTGGTGGTTTACTATCATCCTCATAGTGCATGGTATGAAATTGTTACAAGATGAACTTTGAGATGGTTGTGGTTGTTTTCTGATTCTTTTAGCTGTCAAAATATTATTACTCAGTCTTGATTTCTCCTGAGGAGATATTTCAAATGTGTTTTCCCTGTATTCTGCAGCTGAATATGCAGAATAACTGAATTCTCATCAAAAAGTGAAGTACTTTCACATATGAATGACCAGCTCCTTCCCTAGGCTGCTTGATCAGTACTTTCTTTAATGTGTAAAACACAAATAATATGAAAGTCATGCTAGATGTGGTTGTGGTTTATCTTGTATGTAGTCCTCAATGAAAATTGCATTTTTCAAAAATTACAATGAAATTAAATAAAATTTAAAATTTTCCAATTTTGAATTGGAAAATTAAAATTTCATTGAGAGAATAGTTATCCTGTCTATCTGTCACTTGTTTTACTTGTGTGAGAGGTGAAGGCAGCATGGAGAGTAAAAAAACCAAAATAATCTGTCTGTCAGCAGAATGTGCTGAGAAGCTCTGCATGTTGGCAGCCAATTTCCCATTGCCACCAGATGCCACTGTTACCCTAGATAAAGACACTTTGACTGTGCTTGCACCATCAGTGTGAGAGGTAGAGATGGGCATGGCTCATAGCTTTGGGTATTTATAGGCAGATGAAAGTGTACCTTCCATTCTAGTAAAAATCTTACCTGCTTTTGGGTGGCTTATTTGAATTTATAAGGCTGTGAGATTCCAGGCTGTGAAGTTGTTGAAGTTGTATGTCTTTTTCAGTCTGTTTCCTACAATGTTTAGCTGTGATGCTAAATGTTTGAAATACAAGGTCTAAAATCATCATTGACTATTGACTCGGCCCACTGGGTTTCACAACAGTGTCACTGTCAGATATGGATTAGTGGGTAAATTGAAAACCTCACGCTTCAATATCCATTGTGTTGTTGCAGCTGGGACATCTTGATGAGGACTGTATAACAGAGCTTTCTGTGTTTCATGAGCAGAGCAGGGAGACTATATTGCAATTAATAACAGAGGTAAGAAGTTTATGTCAGTAATTTACAGTAATTAACTACAGTAATAGAGTAAATAAATTTACTGTGTAATCAGACCAATACATATTCCAAATTATGACATTTTACATACATTTAAGATTTAAAGAGGCCCTGCAGAACTCTAGAATCTGGCTGTAGTTGCAACTACAAGTTACTGGTTTGGAAGTTCAAATTTATTTATTTCTTTTTCTCCTTTAATTGTGAACTTCCTGTTTCCTAAATCTTACTGATTCCTAAATCTTATCACTATGGTAAAATCCTTCTGAATCTCTGAAAGTCAGGATTGACATCAAAAGTGTGTCTGTGTTACTCACACGCACAGAACTGCTGAAAATTATGCAAAAAGTTGGCAGTTATGAAAGAATGCTCAGGAGTTACTTCCAAGAAATTTATACTCTTGCTGAAGTATTGGATAAACCATATTACTGGGTTTGCATTCACTTCAGTAGATAGATCTTCACTCCAGCATTTCCATGCTACTGCATGAACTACAAACTAGCTTGCAAAGAACAACTAATATAGTGCCTTTTTCTTGATTTCAGGCACATAATGGAAATCACTTGAAGCCTGATATTACAGTTATGTGTAATTAGGGTTACATATCAGATAGAAAAAACTTGTAGAGACATGGAAATACTCAGAAGGCTGAGCTTGACTGGTACTTTCAGTGTTTCCAAAGAGAAGATTAAAATACTTTTTCTTTCTTTCTCCCTGACCCTGCAGTGGAAATATGACCACATGTCAGCAACATACCTCTTGCTTCTATCCAAGAAGGCTCGTGGCAAGCGTGTTCGTTTAAGGTTTCCGTGTCTAACAGAGCATGCCAGTACCACGATGTCAACCGTCCTTGAGGTAAACTTGAGTTCAGCAGAACAGCATCTTGTTTAAAATCCTGCTCTGCATTGACAAAGCTCTGCCTGGAGAAACATTCTAGTGCTCTAAACATCAGGAAGAGAGCATGAGCCTGAGTTTAGCTCAGCTGGTTAGAGCATGGTGGTAATAACACCAAGGTGGTTTTGATCCTTGTACGGCCCATTCACTTAAGAGTTGGACTTGGTGATCTTTGATGGTCCCTTCCAACTTGGAATATTATGTGAAGTACACAGTCAGCCAAAGTCTTGGGCATTAAAAAGTTCAGTTGTCTCATTAGCATGATTTAGTAAGATAGGCTGCTTCTCTGGACTGGCTTTACTGGAATAGCCATCTGGGAGGATTTGATGCATCAAGTGTCGCACAGAATCCTTTTTTATTAATGGGCTCAAATTTCCTCTTTTGTGGCCTGGATGATTCCAGATCTTGTTCTGTGATGACTAATTGCACTCTGTCGCTATGTTTTTTTCTACCTTGAGGGTTGCATTTGGTAAGGAAAATCTTTTGATACCTCATGATATGTTGTCATGGTTTGACACTGGCACAATGCCAGTGCCCCCATGAAAAGGCAATCTCTCAATTGAATGCTGTGAAATGCAATCGAGAACAGAGCAAAGCAGGCCCAAGCTTAATAACAACAACAAAAAACTTTATTAAGCTACTACTACTATACTACTATAAAAGGAAAAAGAAAGAAAAAAACACACATAAAAAATTGAAAATTAAAACCTTCCAAAGCATTCTTCCTCCCACCACCCAACTCCAACAAACCACAGTGAGACACAACATGGACCCCAATCAGGTTTCCACCCTCCAGACAATTGATTCTCAGACAATTGAGGGAGAGAGGAGCCCCTCCTGTGCCACAGACCCCCCAAGAAACACAGCTTCCACACCCTGTGCTGCCATGTCACACATGGCACCACCCGGAGAAAAAGTTTGCCAATGGTGACCCTCTCCTTTCCATGCACAGTGCTCTCACCACCGATGCATGGATGGACAGACTGCTTTTAAGATCTTTTCCTTTCAAGGATGCCCTGCCAAGAGGGGAAAAAACAACAGTTCAGTTTTTCATTTTTGGGACCACAGTCCCCCCCATTTTCCCCTGGGGCCGAGGGTCCAAGAACAGAGATCTTCTCTTCTTCTCTGAAGACAGGGGGCACCACCACAAACCTCCTTAACTTTTCTCTGTTCGCTCCACTTCTGTCTTTTCCCAGCTGAAGCAGGTCTCTTTGGCTCACCGGCATCCTCCTAAAATACAGTCTCTCTTGGAGGAGAAGATCGGTCCAGTCTGTGGCTACCAAGAAAGAGTCCAGCCAAAAGCCACTCCATCATCTCCTCCCACCTAGAATTTCTCTTTCTAACATCATAGGGTCCAAGCTGTCTCTGTTCCTCTTTTAAACCAAGGAGGAGAAAAATTTCACAAAGCTTTCATTTCTGAAGGAAGGGTTAAAAGTCCCGACTCCCAAAGATGGCTCACTGCCCAGACTCCTGCTCCCACAGGCATCTGGGCACCTTGCGGCCCCCCCGCTCTTCTCCTTCCCCACGGTGAACTGCTGACAAACCACCACTTGTCTCTTTCTCTCTCTCGAGCGAGAGAGACTCTGGGCGGGGAATGGAGACATCCCAGATTTCTCCACACTTCCATCTGCAGGGTCCAGCCTGGTTCCAGTCCCTCCACCCTTGGGCCTACCTCCGAAGGCCACATGGCTCTCCCCTCCCCCACCCAGCTCATTGCCGGGCAGGGCAGAGTCCTGCACTTCACGCTGACTGGAACCAAAAAGAGCAAGTTCTCCTGGGAATTCTGCTTTTAACCCCTCTGTGTTCTCAGAGGCGTGTCCACTTTCAATCGGTCAATATCCAAATTGACCTCTTCCTTCCGAGAAAAATTCTTTTTCCGTGTCAAACCACGACATATGTCACCTGGGCAGTGTTCTCTGAGAGTGACATAGGCACTATGGGAACTGGTGATCAAATCAGAGGGAGTCATCCCTTTCTCATCTGTTTCGCTTGAGAACATAATCCTAGAGAGGAAGCTGTTTACTTTGAGTAAAGGAAATGTGTTGCTACTGTTTTTCTGATGATTTGGATTCTGAAGTAATTTTGTATATCTTAGGGGAATTTCTATTCCTGTAGTTTGGTAGTGGCTAGAGTTGCTAAACTCCTTGCAATGATGTATATAATATGCAAATATATGTGATGTCAGCAATACTAGTGTATTTGACAAATTCCAAAACATTCAGAGGAGTTGCAGACTTGTATAAGTTGTTTCCCCTTGAGACGAAACATCTGTGAAATGTTCTGAGTGTGTTGCTTTCTGTGTTAGAGGCAAGCACTCGGAATAAATAATTTATGTATCTGATTCAGCATGTAAATAATTTCAGTTCACCCATACAGCTTTTTTGATAGAATTCTAGGACTACTAGAGCTGCATAATAGATAATGAATTATAACTGTTCCTGATAAATCATGTTCCTGCCTAATGTGATTTCCACACACTCTGATGATTAAGGTGGAGGTTCACTAGGTTCAGTTCTGCTGAACTGTTAAGCTACTTCATCTCTAGTGATGTCTAAGGTAAATTGGCAAATGCTACTAATTAACATATGCATTATGCCTTCCTAGATGATGGTGAAATTCCTGGCTACACAATACAGCAATCCATTACGCAATTAACTTGCCTATGTGTAGCTTCTGAATTTGCTGAAACACACAGCTAGCAAAGCTCTCTAACTGGACCTAATCTAATGTGAAGACAACCAAGCAAATAGAACCTTTTACTTAGCCATTTCTGAATTTGGTGGCACAAGCTTGTATGTAATACTGCTTGATTTCAAGCAGTTTGATATAGAGGTATATTGCAAAATAGTCACCATGCCATGAATTACATCTAGAACACAGTAACTGAAGCATCTTAATCATGCATTTATATTTAATGGAATGTGATTTCAACTACACTATCAGCTTCTTGTGGTTAGCAAGCATCTGGTAAGGGCTTTTGAGTAAGGCATCATAGAAGCTCTAGAGCTTATCAGACAGTTCTCTATTCCAGTAGTAATGAGAGATCTGCTCATTGTGATATCCTTGATCATGGGGCAACAGAAACTCACCAGCAGAACATAGGTTACTAAAATGTCATCCATTCCAGCTTTTTATAACCGTGTCCATTTCCGCCAAAGGCTGACAATTTAAAATGGCTGTGTACATTTTCACTGTAATGGTATGAAGTAAGTCCTTGGTAAGAGTTTCCTGTAAGTAACAAAAAGGTGTTAGAGACTAAGGATGCTTGGATATATAACTGCTTGTATGTGGTGTGAACCATGAAGGTTAGCAACCTTGGCTGAAGTTACAAATCTCTTGATTTAATAACTGACAACTTTTGGGGAAGGCAGAGCTAGGCATCAGATGAAGGGTTCCAACTGCTAGTTCCAATCAGTGTTGTGGATTCAGTAGTCATATGTTTTGGATATATGTGTTTACCTTTATCCAGCCCCTTTTTAAGTGTTACTCCATTCTTCTCTTGGATTCTTTCCAAATTATTACTAAGACTTTTGGTAAAAAGAGCTTGTGGTCCAAGCCTTCAATTCAAAGGTGGCTATTTTTGTGACTTGATTCTCTCCATGACACTGGTCAAGAAAGATGATTTGGCAATGGTGCTTTGAGAATAGTTTCATATCTACCTGTAATACAAATGACAAATCTACAACAACAACATTAAAGTCATATTATATAACATAGGTTGCCTTCATGGGAACTTCCATTATTAGGAACTTAGAAAGAAATCAGATTTAGACTTTAATGACAGTCTTTTCTGATGAAATCTTACTTTTAAGTGTGCAGTGGAATCTCAACTGAATATTTCTTTCCAGTCTGAAAAAATTGTGGTGTGCCAGACTGCAGTGAAGTGCCATGGGCATTTGTATTCATGGAATTTACAGATACAGCTTCACTGTTTGAAGAATGTCTAGAAAAAATTTGTATAAATACTCATGGAATGAAGCAGGTGATTGATACAGTGTCCTTAATCCAAAAGATCTTATTTTCATTGTACATAAAAATGACTGAATATGTAAATGTTTGGTAGATCCTGGCCTAGTAGAGTTACAAATGGAGTAAAGAAGTGTTTTAAATATATAGCTGAACATACATTGTGCCTTCCTCTAGCTGTAGGCAATTTGACTAAAACTTGAGCTTTGATCATATAGAAAATGAGTAAATAAGGATTTTAAAACCAACAGGAAAAAAGTAAGGTGCAACAAATAAGGTCTCAGACCTAGGCTAAAAGTGGACAAGTTTCTGAAGAAGTGCAGCCATATTGGACAAGAAAATCAAATGAACAAATTAAAATTTTACAATTAAGCCAAATGGAAATTCCTGGCTGTGTTTAGGTGAGCTGGTGAAGAATAGCCTTAAACGTGCAAGCTAAAGAATTTAGAAGAACTGGTAAAGAAGTGGCAAATTACTTGCAAACCTTATGAGCAAGTTGTAGAGGGAATCAGAAGTATTGAAGACTTTATAACTATTGCTCTGTACTTAAGCTTTGTATTATATTTTTACCCTGCTTCAGAATTTCTGTGTCTGTAATGTTCCTGAATGTGATCAGAATACAGCAAAGGATGGCTTTTTTCTTTTTTTATACCTCTTGTAGCATTCGAGGCCTGATGCCCAACCGGAGGATACGGGACTCAAACTGTCAACTCCAGTGACAAGAAAAGTGGCATCAAAGAAGCATAAAGACAAAGAGAATGTTGAGACAGTGTCAGCTTTAAGAAATGAAATGCCCTTTGTGCTTCCTAAGACTCCTCTTGCAAAAAGTCAGATTGAGACACAGGTACAAGCTGTTCCCCTTAGGGCATCTGCTTTCAAAGGTATGTAGACTGTAACTAATGAAAGTTTAGAACATATATGGTGCTTGGGAATCACTGAAATCCAAATATAAGCACAGTATTTCTTCATCCAATACATTGATTTCTGAAACACTTCAATTTTTTTGTTCTATGCACCACCCAGTTTATTCTAGTACATTTGGTAGGGTGTTGCAACACATGATAATTGTAGCAGCAACATCAGGGCATGTTACTTGTGTTGCTGCTACAATTATCATGTGTGAGCCCCTTTTGGTATACCCTAACATGGAGCCAAGCACTGTGTTGTTAAAGCTTGCACCTGGTTCCACTTTTCCATGAAGGTTGAGATTGCAGTTTCCTCAACACTCTGTTTTTCCTTTGTGATTACCCTGAATGAAAATAAAAGCATAATTTTAGTTAAATCTGCTTTAATTGTTGGCTCTAAGAGAAATCTAGCTTTTGGATTTCTTATGGTTGCATATCAGCATTTTCACAGGGGCAGTCCAATATACCAGTGAAAATGCTTCTGTTAACAACATGCAGGTCTTGCAGCTATGCAATAGACCACAGAAATCTGTATAAATTATGTCAGCTTTTCTGAGTTACCAGAATTTTCTGTCATCAGCCTGTCTACTCATGTACATGTTCCATATGTTCATTACCATTTCATTCAATGATTACCATTAAAGTTTTGGTGTTGATACTGTAAATGCTAACTCTGTCCTTCAAATGCCAAAGGCTCCTTGAAACAGTGTTAGCATTCAGGAACACACATAATCATGGGATATGATTATATGCAGGTGCTTTTATTGAGAGTTCTGGGAATCTGGGGTACAGACCCAAATCTGACTCCAACATAGCTTTTGAGCTGAACGTATTTTATATCCTATTGTTATATAACTACATATTAATTATTAAACTTTTATTGTTCTATTGTATACATTGACTTTATTAAAGCATGAGTTTCTCATGATCTTTCTTAGGCCCCTGACCACAGTTTCTCATGATTATTCTTACGATTAAACAGTAATTATATTTAATTACTAAACAATCATCACATCTAACAATTATATCATTTATCATGTACTAGCTACACAGGTACAGATATAGCAAGGTACAAGACCTTCATGTACCTCGGGTACTTATTTTTTTTCAGGGGCTACTAAGCTTAATTTTCCTTTTAACCCTAAATACCCATGATTTTAAAACCCTTTTACTATCAATAGGAGACTTGTAATACCTGACATCTGTGTATGTCTAAAAACAAAACAGATACTATCCAAAATGGGAAATGTAAAAACATTTCTAACTCATTTATTTAGTGACATTTCTGAGGATTAGAAAAAGAAAGCTAAGTCTTTGCTGCGTTGAAAGATCTTTGATTCAGGAAATAGAAAAGTGGAAGAATCCACTGGAAATTTTGAGGTTGTTTGCATGGAGCCAGGTGCAATTCTGTAGAGAGCTGAAACTTTGAACATTGAAGTTGGGTTTAATTGTGACAACTAATTTGCTGACAGTTTCGCCTTGGTGTTTTCTCCTCTGCCTTTAAAACCATGCTCTGCAAGATGCTGACTTTCTAGACTGTTGTGTAGCATGTACATTGTATATTAAACATGACTATATAAACTTACACCCTTCATATAAGGGAAATGGATCACTGAAGAACACAACTACTCAATGCAGTGGATTGCTCCATATTTATTCATGGACCAGCAGCAGAGCAAGAAAGCAATTCTAGTCTTCAAATTTCTAGTATTGAACTGCAATGGTTACTCTTAATGTTTGACTTGTAGAGCTCCAGGGAAATCAGTCACAGTTTTAATTTGTAGAGTAGAGGTGGTATTAAAAACATATTTTATAATTCACAAAATATAGACCTGAGCTAGAAGAGAGGGTCTGGTGTTAGAAGTAAGTTATTAATAATGAGAAATCGTCACTGAAGACAAGAAAATCCTTTTATGCAAAGACATACCTGGTTTGGCTTGGACATTTTCTTTCAGAGAGTCAGTTCACTGCAGTCACCCCAGTTAAGAAACCCGATAACCGAACAAATGCAGATGAATTGGCAGCAGCTGAGATTCTTCCTGAAAGAAGGTAAGTGTCCAGTTATTAGTGTACATTCCTGATTTAGAGCAGGAATGTCTTAATCCATGGGCTGCCCGGGAATCCCTGTTACAACAGCAAGCTGTTGTTCCTGTTCTTTTCGTAAAAACTTTTCTAGAACCTCTTTTTACAGCCACTAGAAAATAATGAAGGTAGAGAAGAGTTTTAAAACTATGTAACTCAATATCATCTATTTTTCATAATGTAGGTGCCTTCTTATTCCAGGTCTTCAAAGAACTGCAATTTCTAGACATATCTCTGGGTTTAAACTTCAACAGACTTTCAAACAGAAACTCCTATAATACATTGCATTTGATTCCATTTTCTTTGTTCTGGTAATATTTTAGTGACATCTTTGAAATAATTGTTATTTAATACTGAGGGAAAAATAACAGATTAATTTGTTCATGTAACAGGTGTCAGTCAGTGGAATTAGATCTTGACCTTGCACATGTGGATAGCAGCCAAAAGAAGAGAAAAGCCAAAATATTTGGAAGTCTTGAAAGAGGCCTAGATAAAGTGATCACAATGCTTACACCAAGCAAGAAAAAACGATGCACTAGAGACTGTCCAAGGAAACTTAAGGTATGGTTGCTGCAAAGATCTTACATAAAGCAAGTATTATTAAAATATTAAGTAATTATATTGGTTATGTGTTAATTATTATCTCACAGTAATTATGATTGAAAACATCCAGTAGCTTCAGAAATGGTTTTGTAAAAGATTCTGTGACCTGTCTTGCCTGAATTCTACAGTAAAGTGCTCTTACTTATTACTGATAACAAGACAGTGCCCAATTACCACATTCAGTTATCTGTTAGTGTGGGTTTAGGCAACAGATCCAGGGAGGAGTTTGGCCCTTGCTACTTATAGCCCATCTAAACCAAATGTGAAGGAAGCAGCATGGTTTGAAAGGAGCCCAGCTGGCCATTTTTTAATCATGTTATTTGTATAGACATTGCTTTCTCCAGTAGAAGGAGAAAAGGCACAATGTGCGCACAGGTTGATGGCCTGTTGTGATAAGTGGGTGAATAACAAGAGACAGTTAACAGGCTGTGCTGAACTGAGGGGCTGAAATGGACATAGTTGTGGCTTCAGAACTATCCACCTACAATGGATACCACTGAGCAGGAGACACCTTGAGCCCTTTGTGACCCACAAAAACAGTGCTCCAATTTAACTTCCACACTGCAGCATTCAGACTGAAAACACATATGGTGTTTTAAAGGTTTTAGATGTCCACAAGCAAGGTTCCCATAAAAAGAAACATTGAGTACTTGCAGTGGGCGACTGTTAAAGGGCACAGAGACATCCATCTGCTGGCCTGATAAAGAGTCACTAGAAGTTTGCTGCCTTCCAGGTGCTAGAATCCATGATGTTGCTGAGAGGGTACCCCAACTTCTCAAAAGCATGACAGCTACCTGTTACTATGTTATCATGTGGATAAAAAATAATGCTGCAAGCCAAACAACAGACAGGATCAAGGAAGAATGTTAACACCTGGTGAGGCAGGTAAAAACATTAGTGTCCAAGTCATTTTCTCATAGTGAGAGAGAAAGGGAAGCCAGAAGTAAATGTATAGTGCAGATCAACATCTGGCTTCATGGCTGTGCCATTGAGAAGGTTTTGTCTTTTATAACAATGGGTTGTACTTGGATGATTGTAGCCTGTTAAGCAGAGATGGGATGGATCCACCTGTCTAAAGCAGGCAAGAGAGTCTTTGGTAGCCCCCTGGCCAATTTGGAGAGACTGACTTCAGACTGAAGGACTCAGGAGAGGGGTTCAAAATGGTGATGCTTGTGCCATTGCTTCCTTCTTGATTAGGTCATTGGTGATTAGGGCATACCAACCAATGCAGTGACAGATGTTTCTTGGCTGCCTCTCAAGATGAGAATCAAAGGGCAAACCATGCTGAGAGTGTGCATTGCTGTTTTGATTGCTCTTACACCCTCTCTGTGCAACCCAATTGCTTGATTATGTGCATGAAATGCCTGGAGACAAACATGTATGGGGAATAAACAAGAACTAAAAATCTGTATGTGGTCACAGGGCCATGATCTCAATGCAATGACAGAACATGGTGAGATAGCTTATGTGACTGAAATGTTGTCAGGGATGGCCAGGTCAGTTTGATGAGGTAGTTGCTCATTATGTAAGACACCAATTGTAACATACTGAACTCTACCAAGGGTCAGGTGAATGAAGCGAGAATTTAAGGGAAAGGTGACACTGTTGAAGGTGTTTACTATAATCCACCTGATCAGAGGGAGGAAGCTGATGACCCTTTCTGTGGACAGATGGAAGTAGTCTCATGATTATAGGCCCTGGTTCTCATAGGGGACTTCAACCACCCTGATATTTTTTTGAGGGACAACAGAGCACAGCACACACAGTCCAGGAAGTTCCTACAGATTATTAAACACAACGTTTTGACACAAGTGGTGGAAGAGCCAACAAAAGAAAGATGTGTTGCTGGACCTTGTACTAATGAACCAGGAGGGACTGAGTGAAGATGTGAAGGCTGTAGTGACCTTCATTTTAGTGACCATGAGATAATGGAACATGGGATCTGTGTGGTGAAAACAGAGTAGCAGGACTAGAACTTTAAACTTCTAGAGAATTAACTCCAACTTCTTCAAAGATCTACTTAGAGGAATCCCATGGGATGGGGCTTCAGAAGACAAGGGAGTCCAAGAAAGCAGGTCAGTGTTCAAGCAACACTTCCAAGCTCAAATCCAGCATATTCCTGTGATAAAGAAGTTAGGCACAGGAAGTAGGAGATCTGCATGACTGAGCAGGGAGCTTCTAGCAAACCTCAAATGGAAGAAAGAAATTTATAAGATAGGGAAAACGGGACAGGCCATGTAGGAAGACTAGGAACATTGTCAGAATATGCAGGAATGCAACTAGGAAAGTTAAGGCCCACTTGGAATTGAGCCTGGCAAGGGACATCAATGAAAACAAAAATGTATTCTATAAGTATATCATCAGCAAAAGTAAGATTAGGGAAAACACGGGGATGTTGTTGAATCGGATCGGTGTCCTGGTAATGAGAGATACAGAGAAGGAAGAATTACTGAATGCTTTCTTTGCCTCAGTCTTTAACCTGGGGATCTGGCTGATCCACTTGGAGGCTGTGACGTCAGTCAAGTGGGAACTTGATAGGCTGGAAAGTTGGGCAGAGAGAAACCTAAGGAGGTTCAACAAGGGCAATTACAGGTCCTGTGCCTGGGGAGGAATAACCCCAAGTACCAGAAGAGATTGGGAATGACCTACAAGAGTCCAACTCTGTGGAGAAGGACCTCGGGGTGCTGGTGGATGGCAAGTTGACCATGAGCTGACAGAGTGTCCTGGGGACCAGGAGGGCCAGTGGGATCCTGGAATGCATCAGGAAGAGTATGGCCAACAAGATAGGGAGGGGATCCTGCCTCTCTGCCCTGCCCAGGTGAGGCCAGATCTGGAGTGCTGTGTTCAGTCATGGGCTCCAGATTCAAGAAAGACAGGGAGTTGCTGTAGAGGGTCCAGTGGAGGCCATAAAGATGATTAAGAATCTGGAGCATCTCTTATGAGGAGAGACTGGGAGCTGAGCCTGTTAAGTCGAAAGAAGAGAGGACTGAGAGGTATTTAATACTGAGGGAAATAAATACCTCAAAGGGGTGTCAAAGTGATAGTGAAAGGGTTTTAAAATCATGGGAATTAAGGGTTAAAAGGAAAAATAAGCTTAGTAGGCCCTGGAAAAATAAACACCCTAAGCACATGGAGAACTTATACTTGCTAGAACTGCACCTGTACATGATAAATGATATAATTGTTAGATGTGATGATTGTTTAGTAATTAAATATAATTACTGTTTAATCATAAGAATAATTATGAGAAACTGTGATCAGGGACCTAAGAAAGATCACGAGAAACTCATGTCAATGTATACAATAGAACAATGTAAGTTTAATGACCAATATGTAAGTTATATAACAATAGAATATAAAATACGTTCAGCTCAAAAGCCATGTTGGAGTCAGATTTGGGTCTGGACCCCTGATTCCTAGAGCTCTTAATAAAAGCACCTGCATATAATCATATCCCATGATTATGTGTGTTCTGGAACGCTAACAAAAGGATGGTGCCAGACTCTCTTCAATGGTGCACAGTGATAGGCTGAGCAGCAGTGGCCATAAAATAACCTCATGTTCAACCTCAGCGCGAGGAAGAGCTTCTTTACATTGAGGGTAGCAGTGCACTGAAACAAGCTGCCCAGGGTGGTCATGGAATCTCCCACTCTGGAGACATTGTAAGCCCACCTGGATACATTCCTGTGAAACCTGCTTTAGGGGACCCTGACTTGACAAGGGGATTGGATTGTATGATCTCCAGAGGTCCCTTCCAGTCCTAGTGATTCTGTATACATCGTTCAAATGAAACTTCACAAGCTATACAAGAAAAAATTTGTACTTAAATCTTTAGGCAACATGTTTGAAAAAGATAATTACCATGAAAGAGGGCAGGTTGTTTATCAAGGCATAAGCAGTTGTGTAGAAGCCAACGTGTCCCTTCAACTGACTGGCTGCTAGGCTACCTACTACCCAGAGAACTGTGTCAATCATGCATGTTCAGGACAAGATATTGGACTACAAACCTGACCAGCCGATCAGATGGGAGTCTAGACTGTGCAAATAATCCAGGAACCTGAGCAACTGCAAGCTAGATATTCTTTCTCTTAAATGCCTTTAGTTTCCTGCCTCAGTTTCTCTTGTCTATAGTCTATGCAATATTCATGACGCATGTCTAGAGACGCTGGACTATGGTATGGCAAGACAATGTTACAGCAGTTATGTCAGAGAGTTGCATACATTTAAATCCAAATAAGGACCACAAGAAGCACTCTTCTACTGACTTTACATCCTCAGCCTATGTTAATTTTTCAAGCTTTTTTTTCAGTTGTGTCTTCTCTTGGCTTCTTCTGTGACTTTAGAAGCCAGATATAGGGTATGTTGGTATGTTACTATTGTCATACGCTTCTTCTCAATACCTCCAGGCATCTGCTTGTTGTTCAAGAGGTCACTTAGTGCACAAAATTGTTATATGAAATACTAGATGTGATTAAAACCGCCTATAGCCGCCTATAATTTAAAAGTAGTAAGTAACCTCTTTTTACACGAAGAGTTGCCTGGTGCATTGCCTGCTCCTTGTTTTTAGAAGTACTCTGTCTCAGCTTTCGGCCATTTCCCAGCTCTGGACCATACAGCAGGGTGATAGTTTTGGGATGTTGAAGCATTTGTCACCATTGTTATTTATTCTGAAGCTTCCTTAGTGAAAACTTTTTGCAATGTCTTCAGTTTTAGGAGATTTTTTTTTATTATTCCTTTTTTTAACAAGCTGCTTTTACTTTTAATATTACTTTTAGGCACACTGTAACATTACCACTACTCATCTGCTGAATCCAGATGAACTGTTGAATGAAATAATCATTGTTCTTTCAAAGAAGCATGTGGAATATGTTCAGAAGGGGTAAGTCTACAATATGATTAGTTCAACTTGTATTTGTCTAAATGGTTGCTAGTCCAGTTCTTAAAAAACAAATTATTTAAACTTAGTTTCTTGACCTTATTGTAAAATAATCTTTACAGAAAGTGTACAGAGCACTAAATAAATGTGTGCAATAAAACATGCCCACATAGCACAAAACTATGTTAAGTGTGTTTGAGCACAGCTCTTTCACTAACAGGTATAAACCAATAGTACTAGGGTAACGCTTATGAAAAAATCACATCAGCCTGTCTCATGTGAAATTTTAAATACCAAAAGTTGTTTTGGGTACAGTCACATGAAGAAATGGGACAGTTTTGGAAAATAGTGTAGATACCTTTTAACTCTCATTCTTGGCAGTTAAAAGACATTAACATTTAGTCACAAGGTCAGTACATTTTAAAAGGTGTGCAGAAGCTACATACCTTTTTGTGGATTATTTGAATTTGTACTGTTTACTAGCTACACTAAGCTACTGATTGGTTAGATTGGTTCTTATTTTTGATCAAACTAAAAGACTATTTCCTGAGCTCCCAATGCATAAAAAAAACCCCATTGTGCTCACTTTTCAATATGCATTTTCTCAAGTTCTTGAATATTTCAGTGTTGGGTATTGGTAGAACATCAGAGTTATACATCAACCTCTGATGGATTTCCAAACTCATAATATGGAAGGATGCTAGACTGCACAGCAGCACCTGCTCCCATTGTAATCATTCAAACTCTGCATTCAATTTTTCCTATTTTTCACACCAGCTGAGCTGCAACCAACAGAGAGAAGAGTGTTCTTGTCTAGGAAAAATATGGGAACTTCCCTTCATTCCAGCTCTGAAGATAGGGGCCTTTGGCACGCAGGGGTTCTCGTGGTAGTGTAGGATATTGGTGCTACATATTGGCCGTAGGGCATAATAATAAATATGGTGCCCTGAAACTACAGTATTTACAAAGGTCTCAGGTGACTAAATTATGGACTGTTTCACAATATTCTGAACAGCAATGGGGTATTTTATTTAAAGTGCTTCTATTAATTTAAAATAGCATTGCAAAACAAATATGAAATGGTTCAATAATTATTCTGTTTTCCCTTCTGTTTTACAGTTATACCCTGAAATGTCAAACACGGTCAGATTTTGGTAAAGTAACTATGGAGTTTGAGTTAGAAGTATGTCAGCTCACTAAGCCTGAAGCAGTGGGTATCCGGCGACAACGGCTTAAAGGAGATGCCTGGGTCTACAAGAGGCTGATAGAAGACATCTTATCTAGCTGCCAAGTGTGAGTGGCAGAGTCTTTTATCACAATGTTTTAGAAAGGTCTTTTCAGACAAGTAATTCTTTCTCACAGTCACAGCTATTTGTGAAAAATCTGTCATCTTGGATTTTTAACCATTCCTCCTCGTACATATTCCTTCTGTATGCTTCCATTAATACTAGGTTTGTAATAAATGTTCTGCAACTACAACTTTTCTGAAGCAGAATTCTGTACGCCCTTCCCTTGCTTACATACTTTTCACATATCTGGGTTTAAAAAGTACTGGTTTTATGTGTTGAAGCTTATTACGGGATATCTTCAGTTACCAAGTGCACGGCGCACAGTAATAGTAATTTGCATAATTCTCTTCCTGTCTCTGCTTAAGTAGGATTTATGGAGATCATTAACTAAGTCACAGCTGTGGTTCCCAGAGTTACACTGTCTATTCAGTGTTGTACAAAATAGGATGGGCTTTAGTAAATGTGAAGTCAAGAGTGCTAGGATTTAAACTGATCCCATATAAAGCATTGCACTATCTTGTTATGAAGCCTTAGTGCTGCTTAACAAGCCTGTGCATTTTCTCATTCTCTTGTGTTAACGTGATGCTAGGAGGATCTCTGAAGAACACCGCCACCTTTGAACTGTTCTGAATGGAGAAGGCATTTGTCAGCCAGCTGTCTGCAAGGAATTCAGTGACACCTTTAAGAGAACTTAAGCACCAGAAATAGAACTAGAAATAAGCAGAACAAAGCAAGAACATCTAATAGTTGCTTGGGGGGTTGCTATCATATCTTAAAAACAGATATCTCCCTATGCTTGTGCTAGGTGTTGTGTGAAGTGTTTAATTCTGCCTTTAGCTGTGCTACAGCAGAAACCACATCAGGCCAATCCCTAGCAGCAGCAGGAAGACACATATTAAAGTCTTTCTCTATGCGATGACATTCAGTAATACGCAGACAAGTTGACAGTGTGCTGAAGCTTTTTATTAAACACGAGTTGACTGCCATTTGCTACATGTAAACCCCACGTTATTGCCCCTTAACTAAAGCCCAAGGCACATCCACCAAAGGGTTGGGTGGGTGAGAGGGCTGAGCATTGCTGGAAACTTGCAATGACAGACATGAGATCTGGCTGCTAATGAAAGCTGTCTGCTTGTTCTCTGTAACCATTACCTCAGGAACTGGAGGGTTATTTTGTCTGCATCAAGATAGAAACATCCATCAATTTTGTTTTCAATGCTAGGTTGTCGGTTCTGCTTTATAGACAAGTAAAGCACAGGAACATTTTTAGCAGATTTCAAGAAAAAGAAATGTTGGGAAGGAAGGAGAGCAAAGAGAGAACTGCTGCTCCTTGAAATGTTTCTGGTTAAGAACATTTTAGATGCAGAAGGGGCTAGTAGGAAAAGCGGGACAACATAAACAAGGATACAAATCCAGCAGAAGGATGGTAAGAGAGGTAGTAATGAGAGCCAGGGGTGGTTGGGCACATTAATTGGTAAGAGCATGATCATGTTCACTTTGGAAAGGTTATCTAATCAAGGACCTGGTCAAATGGGATACTAAGGAAAAATCAGGAAAGGGAAAGGAAAAGTCAGAAATTAAAATAGAGGGATGCAAATCTGACAGGCAGTCCTGCAAGAGGAGCAGGACTTTATGGTTATGATTCCTTTCAACTTGACACATTTTATGTCTAGTCTGTGACAGAAAGACAACGAAACAACCTTGTCAATCAAGCAAATGCAGGGTCTCTGGGGAAACTGCATCAAAACAGAACTTTGCTCCTAGTGAGGCTGGGATCTTGAAGGCCTGGGTTGTTGAGAGTGCTGATGCAATGGTGCCAGCTGATGGGGCAATGCACAGAAGTCTCAGCCCTGGTGCTGGCTATGCCCTCCCCAAGCCAGGTCTGTACATATATTCCCCAGCAAACGAGAAACTGGACTGGCAAGAAAGTGGAAGCCTCAGGTCTGAGCAGGGATGTCACATGGGCAGAGGGTGGGTTCTGATTTTAAGGGAGACACAGAAGCCTGGAGTGTGCCCATGGGCCGGTGTGCAGGTGCTGCATGCTTGCAGTGAGCACCACACTGAACCAGATGATGAGAATGGGACCCGTATGGGGTCAGTGTGTCAGGATCCAGAACAGGTTCTGGGATACCCTTGATTATGCCTGTGCTATAGGCAACTATACTCTATCCATTAACTGCTAGTACTGAAGTGTGAATGGTGATGCCATTCCTCCTGCCTGTGCAGGAGTTCTCATATGTGTAAAGACCTTTGATGGGTTCCACGGACGGTTTGGGTGGATACAGACAAGAGATCTCTGTTGGTTGCTCTTGGAGGATAAGGTTTATTCGGGATGGAGAGGTGCTAGACACAGCACGTGGCCGGGCCTGAGGTGATGGGGGAGGGGAGAGACAAAGGGGGGAGCAGGGAATCCAGGAGGAGGAAGTTCCAAGAGGGGAGGGGAAGATCCAAGAGGGCGTCTGGCTCTTCGGGGGCCCCTTATCAAGGGGGGCTTCAAGGTGGGCTGGAACAGGACTTGGGCCAATGGGGTTACAGGTACTTGATGGTTCAGGGGAGGGTTACAGGTGTGGGGTGAACCATACATTCTGAGGGCTGAGATGGAACAGTCCATTTGACTTTTGGACCCCTCTGTAGGTAAGGTATTGTCCAGCCAGTAGGGGGCATGATATTCATCCTGGCTGTACTATTGTGGTTCTTCTGCTAGACAATCATATTTATCTATCCCTCCCAACACATATGTAGTGTGTGACTGGCACATGAATTAAAGATTTGTGTTGGTAAAAGCAGAACTAAACTATTTTTCTAATAAATTGGTACTTAAAGATTCACATCTGCACTTAAATACTTTCAGTATTCCCAGCTGCAATGTGACACTCTTGTTTGGTTTCTGCATGCTAAATATCAGATATCGCTTGGAAATCAGCTAAAACTGTTGGAGGAGCAGCTGAGGGTTGTAGCTCATGTGTATCTGGAGTGCTTCAGTATAATGTGTTCTCTGATTTTCCTTGTTTTCTTGTTTCAATACAAACTTCTCCCCAAGAATTTGGCTTCTGCCTGGAATTTGATCAAAACAAAGAATGGATAGAAGAGGGAAGAGCTGTTAAAAGGAGGCATATTGATAGCAGTTTTGCTAATGAATAGCACGACTTTTTTAAAATCACCAGTCATAGTCATAAAGCGCAAGGGCTGAAGAATTGAAACATTTACTTGCCTTTGCATTCCTTGACTTTTAAATTCAGGAATGACTAAAGAAGTATCCTGTAACACCCCAACTCCCACTGCTCAAAAACACATTCTCTGTGTGTAACTATCTTCTCCCCATGGGGACAAAACTGATGTTGTGAACAGATAAGAAGTAATTAGGATGTCTTGTTCATTCTTTTTAAGCTAAAGATCACCGATTTGATTCACATTGTCTTACAAGCTTTGATGTGTGAAATAAGGTTCTTCTTCATAGGCTACCATCCTGACTGTTTTTACTAATATTCCTTGCTGTGAATGCATAACATTTACTGATAGGAATTAGAAAACAGGGAAGAAACAGGAATCACGTATGCCTTTTTTTTTTTTTTTTTTTTTTTTTTAATCAAACTGCTGCAACTATATCACTATTTTTTTTTACTACCATTGCTGGAAATCTATTTCCACCTAACCTCAGTATTGCTGGCTGGGGATCTATGTACAGATCATGAAAGGAACACGACTACTGAGGAATGTGTCTTGTGTTGTTTATTTTCCAGCATCAGTCTCATTACATTGTTATGACAATGGGCAGATGCCAGCAGCTCATGTCCCCAGCAGCAGACCAAGACCTAGTCAAGTTTTTTGACTAATCACACAAAGCAAAACCATATTGACCAGTAGTTCTATCCAACTACTATAAGCACATGCACCTTTTGTTAAAACAATGCTTGCTTATTTCAAATATAATACTTGTTTGTAAGCCTTAAAATATAATGCACAGGGCTCCATTATCAAGCTTAGAGATTCCTAATGTCATGTTAGATATACTTTCCTGTAGCTTAGGGAGTTATTCTAGCCAAGCGTTAATACACAGACCATTGTTCTTTTTGTCCTTACTTATATAATTTTTCTGCTGACAAATCTTACGGCTATTGCTTAGCTCTAATCACAGGTTTGCTGTCTCTGAGGTCTGTCTTTTGCAGCTTTCCCAAAACTCTCTGATTTTAAGGATTCCCACAATTCCCCCTCTTGAAGACAAAAACAAGGATTAACAGATAAAGGAGCTATGTTTGGTGAGCAGAAGCACAGGTTGTGTGCCAAGCTTGTGGAAGCCTTTGCACAGATAAACGCAGGGCCAGAAGGTTTGTCTTGCTTGCCTGCATTCACTCAGCCAGGTTGTATAATGTCATGGGTATCTGTCAGTCTTGAAAGCACTCTTGCTTTGCTATTCTTAGAGATGTATACTAACTTCAGTCCCTTTTCTTTTGGAATCTAAACTCAATTTACATTAATTATTGTCCTGGTTTGGGCTGGGATCAATTTTATTTCTTCCCAGGAGCTGGTACAATGCTGTGTTTTGGGTTTAGGAGGAGGATAACATTGGTAATGCACAGACATTTTTAGCTGTTGCTGGATAGTGCTGAACCTAAGTCAAAGGCTTTTCAGCTTCTCATGCTCTGACGGTGAGCAGTCCAGGGGGCACAACGATTTGGGAGAGGGCATAGCAAGGATAGCCAAACTTAATTAACACAAGGGATATCTCCAACTATTGGGTGTCATTGTCAGCATTTAACCCTATGGGGATGTTGTAGTTTGACACTGGCCAAATGCCAGGCATCCATGAAAGCTACTCACTCACCCTCCCCTGCTGCAGCTGGGCAGAGGAGAGAAAATTTAATGAAGGGTTCATGAGTTGAGATAACGACCAGGAAAAAACACTCCAAGGGTAAAACAGGCTCAGTTTAAAAATATTAAGTGAATTTATTACTAACAAAATCAGAGCAAGAAAATGAGAAATAAAATAAGCCCATAAAAATACCTTTTCCCCCCTAATACATAAGTCTTCTCTCTTGATGATGCTACCATTTGTCCAAATATATTTGTCCAATATATTTGTCCAAATATATATCCAAACTTTGGGGCCTTATCTTGACTCTCCATTTCATTATCCCAGTGTTGAGGTGATCTTGGTTCATCTTCTTTTAAAAGCAGGTAGGCCCTATTCTTGAAAGTCCCTGTATGGGTTTCATGCAATAGCAACACTCTTTGTTTTTTTCCTACCAGAACTACTGCTTCTAGTATTTTGTGCTATGGATATTCATGTTCTTTCAGGAGAACATGTACTCTGTTTCTCCTTTCTGTTCCTATCTGATCAACTTCAGTTTTGGGTCAATCATGACAAGAAAGATACTTGTCTGTTGATGAGGCAGCATCAGTGACATCTGAGATAGGTCTAAGGGTGAGAGCTAGATTGAACTGTTTAGGGGTATACCTGATCTCAGGGCTACCCAAACAGCAGCCACCAGCCCCATCCAGACCTGGAAGTTCTTGACAGCCAACCAGCAAGGACGGGGCAGTGCTAGAAGCAGCAAGTGAGATTTAAACGGCTCTAGGGAGTGCAAATGGTGCAAATGGTACAGAACGAGGAGAACACGAGTAAGCAAATGGGAACATGCCATGTCAGTTTCTATGGATGGGATGAGCAGGAAAGGCTGCTCTTCAGCTCTCTGTGAGCAGCCAAGAGAGGCAGAAAACAGACCAAAGAGTTGGTGAAGGACACAAAGAGACCTTTTCAGCACCAGTCTTAATAGTGTATCCTCTCTCAGGTATAGTTTTGTCATGCCCCTGTAGCTGCTAAAGTCACTGCACCAGCCATGTCAGAGGCCTCCAGACAGCCAGACCTACTGATGCATACAGCTCTCCAGGTCTCAGGTTATCAGAAGCGCTGGATGCCTCTCTGTGAGGCTCAATCATTCCTTTTTCAGGTGTTGTCGATGTGCTGAATTACCAGATGAAGAAACGAGGGGAAGTGAATACACAGTATTCAAGAGAATGAAAGATTGATGAATTCTCAAGAGGTGCTACAGCCTAAGGAGTCCTGAACTTCTGTTTTAGTAGAAGAACATTAATTTCTTTCTTATTAATTTCTTAAAATGTATAAATGGTAAGTTTTGAGCGACCTCAGGATCCCTACCACTAAGAAGCCCAGGATGAAGAGGGATGCTGTCTGGATCCACAGGGATGGTGAATATCTTTCTACTTCATCTGTCTCCTTTTTACACTCTCTTTCTCTGCCCCCTGCTCTTTTCTATTTTTTTTTTTAATCTCTCTCTACATCACATTTATTGTTAAATAAAATCCATACTATTGACGGGTGTTGCTTGCACCTAAATTTGGGTAGAGGCATCTCTCTCTGATAATCAGATGGTAACATATTGCCTCTCACAGGGTCCTTCTAGACAATTCAGCTAACAGCTGAATAAGCACATCATGCAATGGGTGAGCAGTTGGCCCATGTGTCACAGAGTGAATGGTGCAACATCAGGCTGGCAACAGGACAGTAGTGCAGTTCTGACGGATTTCATCCTTGGTCCAGTTCTCTTCAACACCATAAACTGCTTGGATGCAGGACTCAAAGGCATGCAAAATAAGTTTGCAGATGATTCAGTTACAGGCTCCCCAGGAAAGTGGTCGTAGCACCAAGGCGGATAGAGTTCAAGAAGCATTTGGACAACGCCCTCAGGCACATGGTGTGATTCTTGGGGCTGTCTTGTGCAGGGCTAGGAGTTGGACTTCCACCTTAGAATATTCTAGAGATTTGCAGGATTGTGTCCAGAAAAGGGCAATGGAGCTGGGGAGAAGTCTGGAGCAGAAATCTGATGAGGAGCAGCTGAGGGAGCTGGAGGCATTCAGCCTCAAGAAAAAGAGGTTTGATGGGGACCTTTTTGTTTTCTACAACTCCTAGACAGAAGCTTATAGCAAGGTGGGGGTTGGGCTCTTCTCCCAGTAAGATCCCTAACTGCAGGATCAGAAGAAATGGTCTGAAGTGGCAACAGGGGAGTTTTGGATGGGTATTAGAGAAAATTTCTTCATTGAAGTGGTGTTAGGTCACACGTGGGGGTGAGGGACAAGGAGACTGACCACTCACTCCAGATGTTCATGTAGCACCGAGAGCTTTATTTCCCCACCCCTCCTTTATATAAGGCATTTGAAAGGCCCAGTCTGTTCTCATTGGTTTGAATCCCACACCCCTTCAGGTCCTGGCCTGTGAGGTGGCTGTAGCATTGAGAGATATTTGGTTGGCCAACACCCTTGTCAATCACGGTAAACAAAGCAATTTAGCCTGGCACAGGCTGCCCAGGACAGTGGTGAAGTCACCATCATTGATCCAAAGGTGTGTGGATATGGCACTCGAGGACATGGGTTAGTGGTGATGCTGCATTAACCCTTTTATGTATTTGATCTTAGAGGCCCTTTCCAAACTTTATGATTGTGTAATTCTGTGATCTCTTTCTTACTATGCAAATTTCTTTAGTGCCTCCTACAGTTTGTGTCTAGGCCACTAATAAATATACTAAGCAATAGTAGTCCCAGACTAATTATGGAAGAGCCTGCCAGAAGTTCTACCCTCTTCAGCAGATCTTTAAGCTTTTCTACTCCCTTATCTCAGTAATTCATAGGGTAACCTCTGGCTTTCTGGAAATTGCATTAACTGTGTATTGCAGAATGAAGTGTCTTTTACCTTTCTGTTATAGATTATGAAGAAAACCAGTTCACAAAGCAGGACTGGAGTAATTTTGATATCTTAAACTGTGATATGTTGATTTTATTTTGAGGAACAGGCAACAGGGAGCCCTTCCTTCTTTACCCCTATAGTTTACCAGTTCACATGTTTAAATTATTTTTCCATTCAAAGCTTGATGTGCAGATCCTTTTTAAAATTATAACAAGGAAGATATATTTCATAGAGACTGTCACTCTTGTTGCTTTTCTTTGTCTCATTTCTTCAGAACATGTCTAACTGGATGGCTTTGCAGAAGTGTAGATGGGTAGGTAGTTCAAGTGCAAAGGTCAGAGGAACTCAAATGAGAAATTGCAGCTAGTTTGCTTTAAGAGAGAAACATTTGTGTAATATGAATAGACAAAAACAGAATTAAATTTTGAGAAGAGAGAATCAAAATATTTTTGCTTATTGAAGTTCAGCTAGTTATTGAGCTCATAGAGCAAATTTTGGTGTAGATGCAATGCAAAAGAAACCCACACAGACATGACTATCCAGGTGTAGTCAAGATTGAGGCTATTAGTCTGATTGCTTACCTTTTGTTTTACTAAATTTAAGTCAATATATTAACTAAGGGAATTACAATACTGGCATATGAAATTTATGAAAACAACAAGTTGAAAAAATAACTGGGAATGCTAAATGGAAAGTTCTTCCAATGCCTAAATGCAGCCAATTTTTGTTGGGAGGTATGAATAATAAAATTTTAGTTGTTTCATTATAATGTATTTGGTAGTAGCTGCTGGTCCCTAAAGCTTTAATTTCCAGGTGTTTGAGAGCTATAATAGCAAACAGGCTTCAAAAAAGTTTTGTGTTAAACTCTCCTGTTCCTAAAGTCTGCTGAATGTTTGGGAGATGTTTCCCATGACCTCAGAACACATCTTTTACACTGACATCTGACAGTTGCCATCCATCCCACATGGCACATCTCACCCTTCTGCAGGTGCAGGCATTGCATGGAACTGCACAGCACGCTGATCTGTTAATGATGGTGCAAGAAGAAACACCCCACTGACAAGTCTCTATCGGGCCTGAGAGGTATGAAGGCACTTACTTTGCATTTCTGAGCACAGGAGCAAGAAGGAGCTTTTTCCTTTTAGGTGTGAAGGTAGCTGCACTGCTCATCAGGTCAAGGGACAGTATTTCCCCTACAGCTGATATCCTACCTGCAGCACTGGGAGTCAGAATGGGTGAGCTGCAAGTTCTTAGTGTTTCTCTGGAATCCAGGTACAGAGGTGGTGAGGGAAGCAGGCAAAACACATTGTCCTGTTCTTTATGGAAACTGCTTAGTACACCCAGCACAGCAGCTAGTGCTTCCAGATCCCAAGTATATTCTGAATTGTAAAAGCCATCCAGGCTCACCTGAAGGCTGTCTTTGGCTAGGTGAATGGGTACATTTGGATCAGTCAGTTCTTAAAGTAGACTTGAATAAAGCAGCTCAGTAAAAACCTCTATTTCTGAAAGCATGTTTTGCAGTGGTTAAAACTTAAAGCTTAATCACTAAGCTGAAATCTGAAAACATAAAGAGTAAGCCAACTTTCCCCACATCAGGGATATTGGATAGACCATAGCGACTTATTTTGCATATTCTATGTGAATGAGGGATATCTGTACATTTCGATAGCACTGTTGTAGTTTGCTAACAAAGTATGCAGCATCATTCACACAGGCACTTGTCAGGTTAGAAAAATATATCTGGCAGACTTTTATTTATTTTTATCAGTCGACTCTGGTTAAGCCATGTAGACTTTGACACCTTGTGAACTGTTTCTTTGATTTAATATGGGTGCTGCACTTCACTAGAGAAAATAAACTCATCTACTGCCATTTTTTGGTTTTATTATATTAATGTTTTGGCAAAGAATTTATTCAGTTTCCAATACTTAGTTACTTATGTGCTACTAACTAGCTTTGCTACATTCCCTAGAGAAAGGTCCATTAAAACTCTTAATGTGACACCACATATTTTTAGTAGACTAGGAAATAGTTGCAATTTTAATTTAAATTGAAATGACTGTGTAATGGCTGGACAAATCACTCTCCAGTCCCTAGAGCTCTTAATGGTAATTCTCCATTTTTTCTATACATAAATTTTCTTTTTAAGTGCTCATTCTGAAATACTGCTCTTTTTGAATGTACTATATTCATTTGATAGTTTTTTTTTTTATGGTTAACAACTTCATTATTAAACTTAAACATTAAATATAAAAAGTGGAAATAATATGCCTAATCAAGTATTGTGAAAATAAACTGTGTTTGTATCTTGAGATGACAATAACTTAAGACCTTCTCTTTGAGGAAGGAAAGGGAAGGGGAAAATTTTCTACTGGGAGTAATGGGCAGAATTCATTGTGTTTCTGCAGCAGAGAAGAATAATCTTAATGAGCAGCTCTTTAGCCCTTTCTACAGCCTTGAGTCATCATCACAAGAAAACAACCCTTTACCCAACATCTCCTCAAAAATAAATCAAGCACTTTATTTGTTGCATCAACAACATTCTGATTTGTTGTAGGCTGGGTAGAACCTGGGGCAGCTTGTATTTTCTGGGAGTTGGCAAGTGTCCCAGTCTGAGGCCTTCACAAAAAGCTGTCACAAAGTCTAACCTCATCTTCCAAAGTCCATCTAAGACATACAGCTGCCAAGCCCTGCCCTTGGCATTACCTCTTGGGGTGCTCAGTATCATAATTGATCACAGACCTAGAGATGTAGACTTTCTCTCAGTACTACTCTTTTACTATAGCAAATTTTTCTTCCACTCAGCCTGCCTCACAGCCTTGCGGCCCTTCTTATCTGTATCACCTTCTTTGTCCTCCACTATGCTTGTTCCACCAGTTCCTTCTTTTTTTCCAGAACTCTTGTACCTTCTCAGTTCATAACAACTCTTAGGTCCTTTGTCTCCCACTCAAAGCCTTCCTGTGAAGGATGCTCTTGGCCTGCCTTCCCCAAGGGCTCATTACATCCCAAAATCTCCCCGGGTCCTTGGCTGCTTCTCATGGATTTCAGTTTTCTGAGTCTCTCTTTCCTGTCCACTCCCCTCATCCAGGCTTGAGTCTTCTGAAGTGATTGCCACTTCTGCTGAAGACAGTACCAAAAAAGTGAGTTAATAACCATCTTTTCTAGGACAAAATTCTCCCTTTTATCTGCTGGTAAAAGGAGAAAAATCTGTTTTGGACAAATTGTTGGCTTCAACAGCAAGATGAGATTAAACCTTCAGAATATATCACAATCCCAAGGAAGAACTATGAGTCATAAGAAACTCTATAAAGAAAACTAAATACCCCAGGATATCCTACAGGAGACAATTCCCATGTCACACTGCTGATGCCAAGCAATATTCATAGAATTAAAAAAGCATTCAGGTTGGAAGGGACCTTTAATGGCCATGTAGTCCAATCCCCCTGCAATGAGCAAGAACATCTTCAAAAGCTTTATTTTGTAATATGGGCTACCATGCTTATAAAACCATGTGTGAACACCTGTCTATCCCACATCAAGAGGCAGCTTACTTATACATGTGAGAGAGGAGGTGTTCACTTCGGAGAATTTGTAAAAAATGGTGTTTAATATGCCTTCAACTCAAACTGTTCTATGATTTCTATGATTTTATGAATGCCAGTGTTACTTGCAAGCTGAGATACAGTATCAGGTGTGGGACCTCCAAGGCTAGAACTTCTCTTGACTTCTACCAGGCCTTTTCCTGGAGTGCAGGAGCTGGATGGCCCCGTAAAGGTCTGGCCAGAGAAAGAATTCCCCATGTTTGAACTCAGAGAAGGTTGCCATCAGCACTAGACAGGACACTCAGGAGACACCAGGGAAGCTTTAAGGGGTTTTGTGGCATTCGGCATTCTCTGGACAGAGAGACATGATTCTGTCTCTCAGGAGAAGCACAGAGAGAAAAAGAGAAAACAATCTTTATCTCTGCTCCTTTGTTTTCCCCATGTGGAATTTGGTATGGAGATTGTTTACCTGAAGTGATTGCTTGATTGGATTCTGGTGAAGGTTGTTTGGGTTCAATGACCATTTGGATCCAGCTGTGTCTTGGACTCTCAGCAGAGAGTCACAAGTTTGAGTTAAAGTTGTTAGATAGGTAAGTAAGAAGTATGTATGTATAATAGGATAGTCTCTCTTTAAATAGTATATTAATGTAATATACTATAATTTTAATAAAGCTATCCTTCAGCCTTCTGATCTGGAGAAAGACATCTTCATTTCTTCCCGCATCTGGGGTTGCCTTTTTACGATAGGGTTTCATGAGGCTGAGGAGCAGAATAGTAAGCAAGCACTGAGTCTGACGTAATTCAGTAAAGTTGGCCCTAAGAAGAAAAAGCAATAAACATTTTCCCAAGAAGATAAATTATTCAGGTTTACCTTAAAAGATGGTGCTGGAAATGGTGAAAATAAAATTTTTATTTGCAATTTGAAATTCCCCATAAGACTCAGTTGTCTTGAAAACCCATAGCTATTTGGGAAATGAGGAAGGAGAGGAAAATATTTAGCCTTGCTCCAGTGTTTATTTTCAGGATTTCGTCTTCACAAGCCAGCTGGGAAAATGTAACTGAGTTGCTAGATTTGCTGACCTCGAGTGCTGGCAGAGGGAAATTTAGCTAGGATAAAGCAGAGTTCCCAAATGGGAAACATTCAAGTGTCTTCCTGCTATTGGTAGCAGCATCTTCATTTTGAAACATGGAGATCTGCACTCAGTTCTTCTGAACTCTATATCACTGTGCAGCAATACTTTACAGCCTCCTCATGCAAATGATCAGGATAATACAGCTGAAATTAAAATTTCTTTTAATTAAAAGCTCAGCAGCTAGGAACTCATCCATTTTTAATTAATTGCATAATAATAGATTTTCTGTTTTATTTAACTTGTGGGATAAAAGCAAGTTTTAACATTGGGATCTGGGCTGCTTAGATAAAATCCTGTTCAGTAGCCACTTACAGAAAAAAACTAAAGCAAAAACCAACCTGAGATGTGTGAATTCTAAAAGGCCAGCTGTAAACCTGTATGTTTCTAGCTGAACCTGCTTATATCATAATCCTTTAGACACAGACTGTGACCAGATCTGAGACTGAGACCTACACTTCTCTGGAAAGCTCAGATGATTAGGGGATCTCGCCAAGGCTTGCAACTCAACAGGAGAGACTATGACTCAATGCTACTGTAATCCATTGCAATAGATGAATTATTATTGTTATGAGTTGTTATTTAGATACTTTTAAAGATAGTTTAATGTAGATACCAGCAATCCTTAGATACTGTACTAGCAATAGATTTAATCATAATCATCCCAAAATAGTGTCCCACTTCTCATGCATGGCTGAGAGCCTCCCCTCAGTTGCTCAGCTACAACACCACTACACAGACATACTCAATTTTATAGAAATAGTTCTATGACAGGTGATTTGTGGCTGTGTGTGAATTGAAAGGAAAGGACATTGCACTAAGAGGGGACCTGACAGGATGCTGGGTAATCCCAACCTATTGCAGCACAGGAGTCAGATGAACAATGTCAGATGCAGAGCCCCAAAGGGCAGCAGTGAGGCACAGATCCAGAGCAGGATGCTAGACCCAGGGGTAGTAGTGGGGACAGTCCTCCTATACCTGCCTGGGAGCTCATGGTACAGAGGGGATGTTGGGGGCTTTCTCCTCCCTCAGGGGCTGGTAAGTGTTTTGGGAAAGACAGGAGAAGAAGGCAGTGTGCTGGAGCTGAGAGCAAGCTCCTGTTTTTCTGTTCATGCACAACCCTCTGCTCTCTCCCTTGGCAGGCACCAGCTTGCAAGAAAAAGTCTTGTGCTGGGGAGAGCCTTTGTTGGGAAAGTACGTGAGACTAGGGAGAAGCTGTAGAGAGAAGTGACCCTGCAACAGAGCACTGCAAAGAGACCAGCAGCCTCTCTGGCAGCAACAGTGCCTTGGGCCAACCTGATCACAAAGCCACACATCCAAGTTGTAAGGGTTTTATGGATATGTGAATTGTAAGTCTGGAGAAGAGAACTGCAAATGCACTTAAGGTGCAGAGTGGGAGATTTCTGTACCCCTACCTTGTTTCCTAATACTGTGAGTCCACAGCCACGCAGTCATACTAATGGCATGGGCTGCAACAATATGGGGTTCCATAAGGCTTTGGGAACAGGGCTCAGGCTCATGAATAAACCATCCCTGGAAGTGGTCAAGACCAGGTTGCATGGAGCTAGGAGCAAGCTGATCTAATAGAAGTTGTCCCTACCCATGACAGGAACATTGAAACAAAGTGATCTTTAATGTTCCTTTCAACACAAACCATTCTGTGATTCTTTGATTAACCTTGGTTTACCTTTGATAACCTTGTTTATTCTTTGATTACCTTGGTTTTGATGTGTCAGGGAATGGTGAGCATTACTTGCATGCTCGTCTCTGGGCCTCCAGTGGGATGGGAAGTGACCAAGCAACATGGCAAGCTGAGGTAAAGGGCTGTGCAGGTCGCTGCACTCCTCTGATGTGAAGCACTCACTCCTCGGCAGGGGTTTTCCCTGTGACCTCTTAGGGACCAAGTCTATCCTGCCTGTGTAATGACTCTACGTCTGGTCTGGGTGCTTGGTTTGTTGATCTCCTTTCCCCATGAAAATTCAGCCAACAGTCACCAGAAACCTTCTCCTTGACTTTGTTTTCAGGATCAGGGCAGATGTTTTGTTCAACCTGAAACAAAATGCATATCTTTATTTCCAGAGATCTCCCTTAGAAAGGAGCTTTTGCAGTAACAGGAGGAGAGAGGTCATTTCAATGTAACTACAGGGGGTGATTTAAAAAATAAAAGTAGTAACACCATAACATTTAAAGGAAGCCCACTCAGCCACCTTGTGGCCTATGTCAACTCTAGAGACGGCTTTGATGAGGGTCTAGTGGGCAGCAGTTCTCTCTCTTGGAGGTGCTGCTGTGACAGGGACCAACCTGCTGGGGATGGTGTCTCAAGTCACTTGGCTTGTTTCCAAGTTGTGTGTCACCCTATGTGAAGCTCTTTTCAATAGACTGTGGCTTTGCAATTTTGACCAGTTTATAAACTGTATAGTAACTCTTCCTATTTAATCTCTTTTCCTGTGATTTTGTTGCAGCTACTTTAGAAACTCAAGGACTGGTGTGGTACTTCTGCCCCTCTTTCATGTTTCTGAGTTGGAAATCATGCTAAAAACAAGGTGCTGACACTCATTAACTGTAAATCATTATTTAG